TCGATGGGCTGAATTGCACAAAACGCATGATCGCACCGGCTGGTCTGGTGCGCGTTGCTATTTATTCTTTTTTGAGAATCTTCTGGCAAGGAAGGTGATTGCAGTGGTAGCGAGGTTAAGTTTGCTGTTTTGTAAAATACTACCAGTTATTGCCTCTTTCACATGCTTATACCTTGTACTTCATTTATAGCAGGAGAAAGGCTTTTTTGGATTCGGAAAAATGGAAATCTGTTGCTTTCTTGCAGGTTTTGTCTGGTGTCCTACAGTCCTTTCGTAAACTACCACTTCTGGAGAACAAACTGTTGATCGGGAATCCAGATTTGGTGTTTCTCGTTGTGCCATGTATTTATTCCACTTTGGAAACAACGCTGATGCAGACCAAACGTCACAAAACGAGTGTATGTTGAAATTTCAGTTACCGTGAGATGTTTGGAAGCTATACCCAAAAGGGTCTATTTAATAGGTATTAGCTGTTCCCGAACTAATCCTTTGTCGTTGGACAGCTTATGAATAAGGAAGTCCATCTACTTCCTGAATTTTTAAATTAAACACAGCCCGGAAAAAGCTGTGGAAAAACATACTGTCTAGAGGTTGTAGATATTTTTGTATGTGCTTGTGTGTATGTGTGTGTTTATTTCTGCGTGTGTGTGTGTGTGAGTGTGTTTGTTTGTGTGTGTGTACGTGTGTATATGTGGGTGTGTGTATGTATGTGTGAACCCTCTCAGTCACCTTCAACTCGAGAACAGCAGAAGCTAGGAAGTTGAGATTTTACAAGTCTGCTCGCGACTCATGTGTGACGCTCTCGTTTTAAAATCGGCGCTCCCCTATGCTTGGGTCTCAAAAACGACGAAAGCATTGCGAACAGAATTGCATGTATTAAACTCTACAGGAATAGCATTCATGCTATTAACGATCTGATTGCTTCAAGTTCCGCGCAAAAACGCATGAACGTACCGCAGTTTTGGTTTGCTGACTGGTTTTTTATAATATCACGTCGCTTCAGAGATTACATCAGAACTAAAAAAAGTTGCGATTCACATTAAAAGTTTAGAGCAGTTAACTTGATTTCACTTTTTGCATAAGAGAGGGTTTTTAAGAATAATTCATTTTAGTGATACATTTGTTTTAATTCAACTTCGCTAAGTTCAAGGATGTTTTTTTTGCAGCCCACTTGTATGCAAATGGATCTCTCTGTTGCTTATCGTTCTCTTTTGAATTGCACCTGTGAGCATAAGAATATCCCGATCAGTTGCTGGCTGGCCAGTTTCGTGAAGCATGCGCAAAAAATTGGTGGCACCGATCCAGTTGTGCGTTTTTTTCGATGCGTTGGAGAACTGGAATTCATGGGTGTCGTTAAAGCAGCCAGCTATAGGAACAGAAGCGCTGTCCGAGTGGCCCTCCTACCGACTTCGTTTGCTTTCTAAACTCCCCACTTTTATTGTTAGTTTTTATTTCGTTTTCTTTTTCTTTTTGGTTAATTTTCTTCCAGTTTTTTGATGCTCTGGCCGGCCGATTTTCGCGCAGACTTTGCCATCGACGCAGCTCTCAGCTTGTCTTCGCAATTTACTGTTGAATCATATGCTGTTCCGGGTCTTTGATCTGCTTCAACTT